CCAGAGCACTTGCAGGTCTGCTGTGTGCAGGAAGAGCAGGCCAAGGAGGCAGACACATTCAAGGCTCCAAGAGGAGAGAATAGGTCTGAAGAAAGATTGTGCCCTTTGGAGAAGCTGTATACCAAATGATGGAGGATTCAAATGGGAAAAAGCTCAGATGACAAGAGTTTAAACCCAGGTGTAGATCCAGCCTTCCCAGGGAGAACCTGGAGACACATGGCTCAGGGCTCCCTAGCCCCAGGGGACCTCCAAGCCCAGAGAAGCAGTGATCCAGGTACCTGGACTTTGGCCCTTGTATAACCCATTCTGAAGTAAAGGAGCCAGGGATCTGGGTGGAGCGTTCCATGAATGGGCCAAGGACAAGAGAAGAGAGACAAGCTCACTCATCTCATTCTAATTTATCCTTCTCTGTGGTAGAACACTGTGGGCTGAGAATGGGATGGCCCTGTACCTGCTGATTCCTAGGACCCATGGGAGGTCAGACTGCCCAGGATGTGACCTTTATCCTGTTACCCCTGCTATGGATGCTGGGAAAATGACTGCCCCACAGCATCTTCCTCTTGGTGGAGAATGAATATTTACACATGCTCCAAGAGCAGGCAATCCAAAATTCAGGAGCAGGTGGAGATCAGAAGCATAGAAAGGCCACTGCAGGGGAAAGGGCTGATGGTAGAATATACCAGAGTTCCCAGCTTGGCCTCTAGATTGTCTTTGTCCTTCATATTCATCTGTGACATGATAAACGTACAATTACAAGGTGGTGGATCCACACATGTAAGTAAGCACCTGGGTGGGCCTCTGTATCTGCAGATCATACACAGCTCACCCAGAGCACCTTGTGAGCAATGTGCATCTGAACACACTCTGCCTATGGGAATGTGCCAAGGCCAGATAAGGATGAAAGGGACAAGAGGCCTCTGTGTAGGGCTGGTGGGCTGGAGTCCCTCAAAGGTCTCACTGCTTAGTGTTGGTGGGGAAGCAGCTTTCCTCTCAACTCCTTCATTTGGTCCTTTAAGGAAGTGAAACCCACCAACCATCCAATATACCTGCTCATACCCATTCACTAACAGTCAGTGATGCACTCCCATCACAGTACACCTACAAGTTCTCACACGTGTTCAATGGCATGCAGTGAAACACATTCACACAAAATGATACACATTCACATTCAATGATACACTCACACACAGGGACTCATGATATCAGAACTCTTACTCTAACACATACTCCATGATACTCATGTCCTCATTCACACATCAGTGACATACACCCATTTAATGACACACATGATTTCTTATGCATTCATTCATACTCTGAGAAATACACGCTAACACATGACCACACACATGCCCACACACATACACACAGTTATACCTGCTCAGTGATCAAAGTATACATGGGCCAACTCTGAATACAGGACAGATCAGAACAAGGAAGCCTAGTGTTCTGGCTGGGATCAACCCCTTATTCTACTCATTTTCTCCTATCCCCATCAAGTTTGGAGGAACGCCTATAAAGTGATCAGTTGCCTTGGCCCTGCTGAGACACACTACATTGCCTGAAGGAGGCAGGGAGAGCAGAGTTCCAACTGGAGGCACCACCCCTCTCCTGCAGGTTGTCCTGATGGGACTCACCCCCAAGAGTCTCTTGAGATGCAGGCCAAGTCCTGAGTGCCAACCACTCTGCAATTATGACCCACTGACATGCCACCTATCACTCATTCCATGTGCACCCCCAGGACACCCCCACGTTCTGTGTGTGCCCAGGTCTCTGAGGGCTCTTCCGTTGGTGCAGCTCCACTATCTGCAGCCCTGACGTGGCTGGGTCACCAGATGCAGACTCCAGTATCTGGCCCTGGCTCTTGACTACTAGAAGACTGTGTCCTTCATCTGTACAGTAGAGGTGATCAGAGGTTCTATCCCTGAAAAATGGCTGGAAGACACCTGCAGACACAGATTGAGGAAGCCTCAGACACTTCCATTTGTATATAAATGGTACCAAGGGCTCAACAGACTGAAAGGACACAGCAAAGGAAGGGACCCCTCCCGAGGCGATCCAAATTCATTGCTTAGTACTGCTCCCAGGACCCAGGGATGGCCCCCCTCCCAGCTCGTACTCAGTGTGTAATGTGACTCTGTCTTCCCACCCCATGGCATGAGAATGTGGAAACCCTGGTATGTGCACCCTCTTCCCAATGACCAACCTCCCAACACCACTATCCCTAAAGGTCCCTAAGTGGCTACACTAGCAGTGGCCATCTGTTGGCTGCCTGAGGCAGGGAAAAGCAGGTGGGGTGGGTTAGAAAATGTCATCCCTGCCCTCCTGGTCTTGCACACAGCTCCTGCTGGGGGCATCTGACCTCATGCCAGGGCCCTTCTACGGCCCTTCCCTGACCTTGTCTGCTAGCCCGGGAGCACACCCGTGGCCTGTCTGACCTGCCTGGATGCCCCGATTCCCACCGCCTCCACCCCGGTGCACTGCTGGGAATCCTGTGGTCTTGT